TTCCGTGCCGGATTCTATTACACCACCCGCACACCCGGGACAACATCTAAATGCTGATAAGAGGTATAATACAAGAACATTATTAAATGGTATTCGTGTAAAAACATGCCACGCAAGCAATATCATTTTACTGTCAAAATTACAACATGCAGCCGTAGGTTCTATGGTAACAGTTTCTCCTCTTGCACTTCTCTCTTGTGGAACTCTCCTCCGGACACTTGCTTTCCAGTCGACTCTGGTCTTCAAAAATTTAAATGCGATGTCAATCGTCATCTTTTGTCTCCTTGACACCCGTTCTTTTATTGTCCTTGCGCCTTGGTATTTTTTCTCAATAGATAACTGCTCGTAATGAGAATTCGGAGAGCTCGAAATCCAGTTGAGTTCATTGCATTCAGTTACTAGCAAATATCCTTGAGATGGTTATGAATCCAGCTTTTCTCCCCCAGCTATGGTTTAAATAATATGACAAACTGTTCTCTTTAAATCTGGTTGGTAACCATTTTAGGAAAAAGCCAACTCTGAATTCAACAGTGAACAGCACCATTCCCTATTACCCTAATACGTATTATGGAAAAGCAGCAGCAATGTCTAACGTGCTGGACGCTGTGAGCCTATACTCCTCACGAATTTTGAGTGCGTATATAAAATAAATTACTATAAGCTTGCACCGCACAAGATTCTCTTCTACGACCATCAAGGAAACATACACGTACCAAATTATGGTGTTTCCATGGGTTCACCTATTGTTTCAATCCTAAACTAATAATACTTTACCGACAATTTACACCCGATATTTATATGAAGTAAGAAGAAATCTAAGAATCTTCGAAAAGATTTCCTTTTCTTTCCAATAGATTTTTTCTTTTTAGACTTACTAATTGATTCTAATAATGTAAAAAAAGTCAACTGAGTTAAACTCGAGACTATTGAACTACAACAGCGAGTACAAGTAAATACTGCACAGTTTCCTTACACATAAAAAGAAATGAAAGAGATGCCGTTTTACAGACGGGTACTGAGAATACTATGGGCAGAACATGTGAGCAACAAGTAAGTTCTAAAGAATAAAGCAGAATTCTAACTTTTTTTAATCATTTCATCCCAGGCATGGCGATAAAGCCACTAAGACAAAAGAGGTTGCTGAGTGCAAAAGAATCAAAGAAAAATCATTATTAAGGAGAGAGGACAATAAAAGAACAGGAATTTAGATAAAAGAGAACGAATGACATTGCCTTTAAATATTTGAAGATCAAAGTTGACTGGAAAGCAAGGAACCGGAAGGGAGTTCAGCAAGCATGAAGTGCCAGAGAAGTAACTTTTAGCATAGAACTTACGGTTACACCGAGCCATTTCAACTGTAAAATGAGTAGACCTAGCTGCCAGTGTAGAACGAAAAACTCATCAGAACAATTACCATAAAAGTATTTATGGAAAAGGCAAAGGAAACCTACGTTATGGCGGTGGGAAAAGGGACAGAAGCCAAGATGCCAGGTCAGCACGAGTAACATTGCAGATTCTTTTTTAGATTTTGTCAAGAATTTCTAGATACATAGCAGAAGCACAAGAACAGCAATATCCAATGCATGGACGAATGGTAGACTTATAGATTTGTAAGCTAGATTCTGGTGAGAAAAAACGCTATAATGAACGAACTTTCATGGCAGCAGACATTTTCATCTTCAGCGGAAAACGTTAGTCTGTGAAGGCGCAAAAAGTCACTCTGGAGGTGGTTAGCCATGTTGATGAACAGTAAAAGGGTTCTCTAAAGACAAAAACGATGTGTAAGGAAACTGTGTTTATATTTTTTAAGAAAGCGAGCAATGAATTTAACGTATCAAATTCGAGAACCAAAATGTGTTATATATATATATATATATATATATATATATATATATATATATATATATATATATATAACTGATTTAAAATATTGTTTCTTCGCTACACAGGAATTATCATGTTTCAAAAGCCGATGCTAAAAACTTAAAATTTAATTATATAATTAAATTAAAAGCATTAGTTTCATCGTCAACCGATTTGAAAGAACTGGATCAGTCGGCGATCTTCCGGGAAGAGGTTCTAAGCGAACTGACAGAGTGTCCTTGAGAATCCATCAGCTTCTACCTGTCGTCGCTCTGCTCAAATTGGCATCGCCAAAGGATCGCTTTACAAGATTCTGAAACTGGATTTATAAATGTTTCCATACAAGATTCAAATAGACCAAACTTTACTACCCCAAGATGCTCAGCGGCGCTTACAGTACGACATTCGATTTCAACATCTAGCCAGAGATATTTGGTTGCATTTCCAAGATGAGATATTGTAATTAGTTACATTATTTACATTGTTCGGAATGTTGTGTTCATTTTTATTGTCATATTCACGACGTTTTGACCGTTAAACACTTCGGCTTTCTCCAGGATCTGTCTATATATTTGAGATGAGGTATTGTAACTGTTTACACTATTTACATTGTTCGAACTGTTGTCCTCATCTTTATTGTCATATTCACGACGTTCCGACCGATGTTCACTGTGGCCTTCTTCAGGCTTTGTCTATATTTCTGAGATGAGATATTGTAATTATTTACACTATTTACATTGTTCGGACTGTTGTCCTCATCTTTACTGTTTGGTTTGGTTTCGTTGTTTTACGGTATATCAACCTCAATGGGTTATTTAATGCCAACAAAATTTTTATTTCTGATAATATTTGTTTTGTCAAAAATCTATTTCTGGTAATATTTTTCCTTCAAAAATGTATTGCTGGCAATAACTTTTTTTAAAAAAAATATTGCAGGTAATATTTTTTTCCTCAGAAATGTATAGCTGGTAATATTTTCTTCAAAAATTTATTTCAGGTAATAATTTTTTTTACAAAATATTTCTGGTATTAAAACCTATTTTTACACTTTCATAGTGTTTTGACCCCAGTTTCGGGGTTAACTATTTGCCCATAGCTGGGACCCTAACAGGTGCTTCCACCCCGGGTCAGGGCGGACCTGGGAACACTAGCAATTAAGAGGTGGTCCCACGCTCCTCAAAACCTCCTGATCAGAGGCCTTGTTGCTGGACGTAGTTTATCGTCTTACACAGGACGCGGGTGCATTTTATCGTCATACCCAGGACGGCGTCTTTACTTGCATATTCACAATATGACTTTAAAGATGATACTTCATTTCAGAAATATTGACAGATCCTGAAGAAGGTCGGGGCGTACAACGGCCGAAACGTTGTGGATATGACAATAAAGATGAGGACAACAGTCCGAGCAATGTAAATAATGTAAATAGTTACAATACTTCATTTCAGAAATATAGACATATCCTGAAGAAGATCGGAGGGTATAACGGCCGAAACGTTGTGGATATGACAATAAAGATGAGGACAGCAGTCCAAACAATGTAAATAATTGAAATTGTGAACAACTTGATAAATGATAAGGCCCATTTAAACGGTACATCAAGAAACATTGATTGCATTCCCCAAAAATGTATTGTCTTGTGCAGCGTTATGGATGAAAGAGTTATGTGCCCCTGTTTCTTTGAAAATAAGGTCAGCCAAAAAGAAGCAACGGGGCCTTGTACAGGACAATGCTTGAAATTTTTTACGCCTATCGCTTAAAGATAACCAGAAGGTATGGTTCCAAAAAGATGCAACTACTGTGCACGCTGCCAAGGTGACAATGGACCTCCTGCGAGAAATTTTCGGTGAACGAATAAATTCAAGAAATGCCGAATTTGTTTGGCCTCCACGTTCACTTGGTTTTTTGTAGGGCTAATTGAAAGAATGGCTTGATGTAAATAAACCTCGAACAATGCAAGAACTTAGGGAGAACACTCGAGCCGAAATCCGATGTTTGGAATCTGAAAACTTGCGTACGGTCATGGTATAGAAAGCGTCTGTACTTGCGATCAGAAAAATAGAAATCATTTGAGGGATACATCCGCCGTAGATGTGGGCTCGTGATGGTGATTCTATTATTAATATTTATTTACAATCTAATGATCAACACTTAAGCTGCATAATAAAATCTTACACTGCCAAATTCATCTCTATCTATAAAAGGCAAGATGTGTGTGTGTGTGTGTGTGTGTGTGTAACGAATGCACGGCCGCAATTTTCGATGGATTTGCACCAAAATTTACATGCACATGCTCCAAGTTAGCGGAAGGCCAAGACCGACGTTGTATTTCCCAACTCCCATCGATAGTGGAAATAATCGTTTTTTTTCATGCTTCTACGGCAGTTTTTATGTAGTTTGCGGCCATTTTCTACTGACCAAAGTGAGAGCCTATAGCTGGCTGCTACGAATAGGCAGGAAGATTCTATTGGCCAGCGTGAGAGCTAACAGCTGACTGACACAAATGTTAACTAGCATGCTAGCATGCAAAAAAAATCGATAGCTTCATTCGTCACAAGTGGGAAAAATTTAAATCTGCATGGCACTTTCCTCCAATTGGCTTATTCGTTTGCTTAAACTCAACGTTGATTCTGATTCTGCAGAACTGGGTTGGGTGTGAAAAAGTATTTGTTAACATTCTTTTTTTCATTCGGTTTTCTAGTTACGAGTTCTTTTTAAAGCTGATCGTTTTGTGTTCATTTTGTTTAGTTCTTTTTTTCGTAACAGATTTAATGTTTAGTATAGAGCTTAGAAAAAATTCGCAGTGTGAAATAGGCAAGAAGTAAGGCATGTAGCAACATCAGCACGGCAAAGGGCACTCCTTTAAAGGCAAGGAAGGGCAAAAATATTTTAAGTCAAGTGATAGCGATTGCTGTATGAGTCGTACGATTTTTGAATCAAGCACGGGCAACGCCGGGCCATGCTGCTAGTAGTCAATATTTCTAACAAAAGCAAATGTTACAAGCTGTGACATATACACGGCATTTTGTTCTTCATACAAATTAAAGTATCTTCCGAAAATTTTACCAACGTGAGTTGAATAATAACAATTGTATTGAGGAAATACATATTTCATTATAGAATAAAACATGGCATAGCTAGCTAGCTTGCTTGCTAGATAGATAGATAGATAGATAGATAGATAGATAGATAGATAGATAGATAGATTTGTCTATATTTCTGAGATGAGATATTATGTACACTATTTACATTATTCGGACTATTGTCCTCATCTTTGTACAACGACCGAAACGTTGTGATAAATATGGCAACAAAGATGAGATAGTCCGATAATATAGATAGATAGATAGATAGATGAATGATAGATAATAATAGATAGATAGATAGATAGAATAGATAGAGGCTAGATAGATAGATAGATAGATAGATAGATAGATAGATAGATGAGATAGATAGACGTCTATATTTCTGAGATGAGGTGTTATGTCCACTATTTACATTATTCGGACTATTGTCATCATTTTTTGTACAACGGCCGAAACGTTGATAAATAGATGAGGATAGAATAATGAATAGATAGATAGATGATAGATAGATGATAGAATAGATAGAATAGATAGATAGATAGATAGATAGATAGATAGATAGATAGATAGATTGACTGACTGACTGACCGAGGCGAGCATATCGATAATTTGCCCTTTTTCCTTCATGTCTTCATCCAAACTTCCGTTCAATTCATGGGAAAGGAAGCAGGTATGGGCAAGAAGAGTACATCACGCTCTCACCATTGGCCAGTGGCCAAAATTTACCGACTTTTCCCATCGCCATTCTTCTTCAATGACCAACGGAATGGCCTAAGTGAGAGACCGACACGTTTTTCTCCTTTGAATCCTTGGCGGATAAAGGGGCAGACGGGACGTTAGCCAACATGTCTGTGGAGACAAAGAAGGTTCGGGGCCGGTCGTATTTATCTAATTCATGCCCCACAACTGATGATCCAGAAAATGACTTTCCTCCACCTCGTTTAGTCCGCGAAACATTGCAAGGGGACAATTAAGATGATATCGACTGTCAGGATTACTCAAGGAGTCAGCATTATTGCTTGTCAACTTCACATTGGTAAATTGTACTTTGGGGTCTAATATTTAAACAAAAATGGTTGCACGAAATAGGTCTGTATTGAAACTAGATGGAAAAATGAAAAAGGTCAGCATATATTTCGTGAAATACGTCTGTTTGATGCTTTGGCACACGCCCTCAGTGATGTTTTTAGCCGAGGTTCATTAGGGGTTTCGGGGCTTTTAACATCATATCCACTCTCTACGTGGACACAGCCGATAATAATCACTGCGACAAATATATTATAATCCAAGCATGGATAATTTCACCAGCTTTGACGCTCTTCCATAAAAAAAGAAAACACACACATTAACAGTTTCACTCTGGTAAGGAATATGGCGACACGCTCGAATTCAAGAGGTAAGCAATGGTCTTTCGTTTCCCTCAATGATATATATATATATAATAAAAGCCTTTTTATTATATCCTTACTCTGTCCTGGACATTGAGTTCTACCTGGATTCCATCCTCTTGGAATTTTTTTTATACAAATATATATGTATGTGTATGTATGTATATATATTTATATATTTTGCCTATGTATGTATATT